CAAGCAGAAAGTAAATACATAGTGGCAAAGAACGGTAGCCTACTGATTTGTGGTTTAAATATCCACATAATACATGTTAAAAAAATACTACCATTAAGTATTACAATTTTCAATTTACATGCATTTTAGTTAAAAAAAACACTGAGGTAGATAGGAAGATTTGGAATGAAGTAATAAAAGATGAAATAATTTTTGGAACCTCGGCGTTTACAAAGAAAGTGAAAACAAAAAGTATGCATACAATATATTTGCTTTAAACTTTTTACAAAATACACTTCATATACAACTGTTATTCTGAAAATGAAACTGTTCTACAAATTATTCGACCGTTGAGAACTAATATGCTAAAGACAAATCAGGATGTGGTGGCATAATGATGATTCATGCAAATAATTTTTTGTAAAAAATGGTTTAATTATTTGATTATTGATGTCTCCAAGAAACACTTGAATTTTTTAGAGCTCTCATGAAAAATTTCACAGCTAATTAAGTGTGTTCTTAACCTACATTTTAACATGGATATAGTGTATAGTAAGTTTTAGTACCAATGAAGAAGTGACAAAAAAATCATAAAATAAAATTTATGGTGATTTGCAAAGCCAATTAACAAATTTTATGAGTTTTCTAAAATAACATTAGAAGTGGAACAATAAAAATTAACGGAAAAAGTAGTTTAGATGACACTAATTTAACACACAAATAACTAAGTTACTAATATTAATATGTTAAGTAAAAAACAGCATGGAGTTACTACACTACTGATTAATATACATCAAATGTAGAAAACTACATCTACTCATTGACATATCTTCAAAGTATATGAAGTTATTAAGTTTTAGAATATATCTGTAAATTTGTATCCTCTATATATTAATTGCCATCACATACAATCTCTACATAATTTCTATGTATCTTCCATATATTAATTTATATTTACCATTTAATAATTACATTAATGTTTAATTGCATAAATGGAAGATATGTGTAGTATTTTCATTGATTTAAATATTCCTCTATACATATCTATATATATATATATATTTGAATATTATAATTTAAATTATTCTTTTTCATTGTATGTTGTTGAATCTTATAATTTAAATGTTTTTTTTTTCATTGTACTAACAACATACAAAATAAAATTTTAAACACTTTACCATCATTCACAAATCACAATACGTTTAATTAAGCGTTACAGTCATTACAACGTATTAACCAAGCCAGCCTGGATCATCATAAAGTAATTATGTATTCGTAAAATTTTATTTGACTTGGTCTATTCGTAGAGACAGTAAAATGAATTACTTACCTAATTTTTTTTATATATTTAGAGATAGAGAAAACGCGTATGAATTTATGACTGTTACTTTATCGATAACCGATAAATAAGATACTCTGAAACATTTTTTTTAGATTTAATATAAATTATTTCCCTTAAGAACTTCATAAAAAGGCAAAAAGAAAAAAGATTTTGAACACATATCCTTTTTGATGTCTTAGTAACGGCCTTGCCTTATGATTGTATTTTGGGCTTTTCCTATGAAGTTCACTCAAATTCTTCTATATATTCTCTTCACCTATATCTCTTTCTTTCACAACCCCTAAACGCCTCTCTTTTTTTTACATAAGACATTCATAAAAGCATAATAAATACAAAAAAGCAAAAAGGGGTAAAAATGAGCATTCAATTCAATATGACTAATGCTCAAGAGTTGGGGCAAGAGGGGTTTGTCTGGGGCATATCAAATTCTGATGATTCCGGAGGCGATTGCCGAAGAATCGAAAAGCAACCGCCTCTATCGCAACCTTCTCAGTCGTTCGAAATTCCAATTTCGACATCTAAGAAGATTGCAAAAGGAAAAAGGAAAGCTAAAAAAAATGGTAAAAATATTGTAGAAGAATCACCCGATCATGAAATACATATATGGACCGAGAGAGAACGGAGGAAGAAGATGAGAGACATGTTCTCTAAACTTCATGCTTTGCTTCCCCAACTTCCTCCTAAGGTACACAATTTAATAACACGAATCTATTCAGTGATTTTTTTTTATTGGTAATTCTCATGTGAAACAATGAAACTGAATTTTGTAACGTGATTCTGCATATGGACCACCAATCGTATAAGATTGCGGACTTGGGTTATATATATATAGCTCAAAAACACAATTCCATGCAAAAAATTGTGATAAACAAAAAAGAATTACATTTTAATATTATCTAACTACATAAATGATTTTTTTTGGGTGAGAAATTAAATAAAACAAAAATCATCAATTATATTTAGTTTTAAAGTTTTTGTTAACCGTCCTATTTATTACCAATCGGAGAAAATAGGCGGAATTAGTTAACATAAGGTTTTTTTTTTTGTTTTCTAAAGTAGTTCATAAACATTGTACCAAACTTTTCGTATGATAAACAAGAACATATAAGATTGCCCTCATATCTTTCTCTTTTTCATTATTATGTTTAGTTTTGATTTGTTCAAGTGTTTATGCTAATTAGTTTACCCATTATAAAAAAAATGTTTATGCTAGTCCCCTTTTCTGGTTTAATTTTCACATTTTTCGCTTTAGATAAACAAGTATATCTAACAATTCTTACTTAAACCAGGTGAAATTTGACAGAGCCGTCAAGC